CAGTTATGACATGGACTGCAGCAAAAACTCCTATTGAAGAGGGATACCTGACACTGCGCTGCTGTGTTTCCTGTCTTACATTCTTCTGAGTAGACTGGCTCCAAGTGTGGCCTCTGTTTGCCTCTGAAAATGAATATTCAGTTGAATCTAAGAAAACTCCCCTTAATGGGCACCTCAGGGATACATTGCTGCCCAAACCATAATGCCAGAGCAGTGAGGGGAAGGGGAAGATACCCCAAACTCTTCTTCTTCCTGCACTCCTATCTCCTAACACTCCTCCCCTCTCATTGACTAAACCTAACCACAAGACAGAGGTCAAGGAGAAAGAGTAATTGTCCCAGCTTACATCAGATGTTCATGACAGTTTCTCATTCTTGTCTCGGTGGGCATTTGGCTCTGTGCATGAAGCTGTTCTGAACATTCGTATACAAAGTTTGAGTCATACATTTTCATTTCTCTTGGGTAGATTCACAGGAGTGGAACTTCTGAGTCATAGGATAGACAAGCGTTTAACTTTTTTTTTTCATTTTTATTCTTTTTATTAAGACTAAGAAAATGAAATAAATAGGAAACATTGACACCCAGGAACATGAAGGCTTTGGCTGGTGTTTTTTTTTTTTTTTAGCATCTTTATTGGAGTATAATTGCTTTACCATGTTATGTTAGTTTCTGCTGTATAACAAAGTGAATCAGCTCTCTGTATACATATATCCCCATATCCCCTCCCTCTTGCGTCTCCTCCCACCCTCCTTAGCCCACCCGCTAGGTGGTCACAAAGCACAGACCTGATCTCCCTGTGCTATGCGGCTGCTTCCCACTAGCTATCTAATTTACATTTGGTAGTGTATATATGGCCATGCCACTCCCTTACTTCGTCCCAGCTTACCCTTCCCACTCCCTGTGTCCTCAAGTCCATTCTCTATGTCTGCCTCTTTATTCCTGTCCTGCCCCTAGGTTCTTCAGAACGATTTTTTTTTTTTTTAGATTCCATATATATGTGTTAGCATATGGTATTTGTTTTTCTCTTTCTGACTTACTTCACTCTGTATGACAGACTCTAGGTCCATCCACCTCACTACAAATAACTCAATTTCGTTTCTTTTTTATGGCTGAGTAATATTCCATTGCATGTATGTGCCACATCTTCTTTATCCATTCATCTGTCAGTGGACACTTAGGTTGCTTCCATGTCCTGGCTATTGTAAATAGAGCTGCAATGGACATTGTGGTACATGACTCTTTTTGAGTTATGGTTTTCTCTGGGTATATGCCCAGTAGTGGGATCACTGGGTCTTATGGTAGTTCTATTTTTAGTTTTTTAAAGAACTTCCATACTGTTCTCTATAGTGGCTGTATCAATTTACATTCCCACCAACAGTGCAAGAGGGCTCCCTTTTCTCCACACCCTCTCCAGCATTTATTGTCTGTAGATTTTTTGACAATGGCCATTCTGACTGGTGTGAGGTGATACCTCATTGTGGTTTTGATTTGCATTTCTCTAATGATTAGTGATGTTGAGCATCCGTTCATGTGCTTCTTGGCCATCTGTATATCTTCTTTGGAGAAATGTCTGTTTAGGTCTTCTGCCCATTTTTGGATTGGGTTGTTTGTTTTTTTTGATACTGAGGTACATGAACAAACATTTAACTTTTTGAGAAACTGTCAAGCAGTTTTCCAAAGTGGTTGTGCCATTGTATACTGACACCAACAACGTGTGAGAGTTTGCTTTTTCTATACTTCTCCAACGTTTAGTTTTAACAAACATTTTCATGTGGGTCATTCTAGTGGCTAGTGATACCTCATTGGGATTTTAATTTGCATTTCCCTGATGACTTAATGATGTTGAGGACTTTTTCATGTGCTTATTTATCACTTATATTATCTTCTTTTATAAAATATCTGTTCAAGTCATTTTAGAACTGGATTTTTAAATATTATTGATTCTTAGTGAACTAAGTGAACTGTGTGAACTTAGTGAACTGTGTGAGTTCCTTGTATATACTGGTTACGAGTCCTGTGTCAGATTTGTGTGCTATATTTTTCTCTCTGTCTGTGGCTTTTCTATTTTCTTAGTGGTGGCTTTGGATAAGTAAAATTAAGAAATATTGATGAAGTCTGGTTTACACATTTTTTCTTTCTGTTTTTCTTTTTTGTGCCTAGCCAATGATTTCAAAGACCATAGTTGTAGATTATTTAAAATGTCCTTTTAAAAAAAAAAGATTTCTATTTAAAAATGAAATACAATTTGAGTGTTTTTCAGGTCACTATATTCCATAGACAGAATGTGTGCTTACCAAATTCATATGTTGGAATTTAATCCCCAGTGTGATTGTGTTTGGAGGGGAGGCCTTTGGGAGTAATTTGGTCATGGGGATGGATCCCTCATAAATGTGTTAAGTGCCCTTATAAAAGAGACCCAGAGAGCTTCTTTGTCCTTTTTATTATGTGAGGACAGAGCCAGAAGATGGCCATTTAGGAACTAGGAAGCAGGCCTTCACTAGATACAGAATCAGCCTGAGCCTTGATCTTGGACTTCCAAGCCTTCAGAACTGTCAGAAATACATGTCTGTTGTTTATAAGCCACCCAGTCTGTGGTATTCTGTAATAGCAGCTCAAACAGACTGAGACAATGTGTATCCTACTTCAAAGTGGGCCATAAAATACTGGATGCTTAGAGCTGCAAGGAGACCTTGATACCATCTATTCCAAACTCCTCCCTAACGTTAGGTTTCCTTCTTCAAGATATTGCTGATCATAATTCACCCTCTGGTTGCTTCTAGAGATTGAGGGCTACAGAAGTGAGTCCCCTTTTGGGGAAAATAAGATGTAAAAGAGTCACTTCTTGAAACTGAGATACTCTTTTAATAGTCTCCTCAGTAGAATTTTATACAAAATGAATTTCATTGGTGTGATTGCTGAGAACCAAAATTACAGTCTGTTGGCCAGCGCTTATCCAGCTTCAGGATTGTAGTCTGTGTTGGGATACAGAGTGGGACCAGTCTGGGTCCATGTCTGGGCCGTGACAGTGTGGTAAGTGCAGTGAGGGAACTTGTGGCATGACTGCAGAATAATTGCCCTTCCTGGGTATGTCAGGGAATATTTTATAGTGAAAACGTGTTTGTGCTGAGCTCAAAAAGAGTAGGAGTCTCTATGAGGAGTTGGAAGGAGGAGGCATAGAGGGTGGAGAACTAGCAGTGGTGAATATTGCCGAAGCTTTGGGTCAGAGACCTAGGTAATGGGAGATGAGCCTGAAGGGCTGGGAAGGGGTGAGAACTTAAATTCCAACATATGAACTTTAAGTTGATAGTTGTCAAATTTTCGAGCAGTTGCGCTTCAGGTGGTCAGTCCTCACTCCTTACCTATTGAGTCAGAGTCTCCAGGGTGGAGGCTGGGCCTTTGAATATTTTCACAGACTCTGTATGTGAGACTGAAGCCCACTGGAGTTTGAAAACTACTAGTTGAAGTGAAGAAGCAGTGAGAAAGAGAGAAGGGCCTTGATTAAAGATGTATTAAAAGTGAAACGGTGCCTATTCTTGATCAACTCTATGTAAGGAATGAGAATGTGGGAGGATTCTGCTTAAGCAACTTTAAAAATGTCATTTATACCAGTTACCTCATAGCAACAGAGTAGGAAATCTGTGGAGGAAATGTAGGAAGTTTAGTTATAGTTAGAGGGCCAGCTTACTGTCAAGAAATACCCATTTAAATCACCTAGAAACAATACTAACTTTGGGAGGATATGGTTCTGTCAATTCAAATATTGCTGATAATAATGAGATGCTTTCCTTATATAGTGCTTATTCTTTTCCAAGGACATATTCAGCTCATTTTTAAAAAATTAATTAATTAATTTGGCTGCGTTGGGTCTCCATTGCTGCACGCAGGCTTTCTCTAGTTCCAGCGAATGGGGGCTACTCTTCGTTGTGGTGTGCGGGCTTCTCATTGCGGTGGCTTCTCTTGTTGTGGAGCATGAGCTCTAGGCGTGCGGGCTTCAGTAGTTGTGGCACGTGGGGTCAGTAGTTGCGGCTTGCAGGCTCTAGAGTGCAGGCTCAGTAGTTGTGGCACGCGGGCTTAGTTGCTCCACGGCATGTGGGACCTTCCAGGACCAGGGCTCGAACCTGTGTGTCCCCTGCATTGGCAGGCGGATTCTCAACCACTGCGCCACCAGGGAAGTCCCTCATATTTGTTAGGTACTAAGATTTGCTGCAGGGCTTCCCTGGTAGCGCAGTGGTTGAGAGTCCGCCTGACGATGCAGGGGACAGGGGTTCGTGCCCTGGTCTGGGAAGATCTCACATGCCGTGGAGCGGCTGGGCGCATGAGCCATGGCCGCTGAGCCTGTGCGTCCAGAGCCTGTGCTCCGCAACGAGAGAGGCCACAACAGTGAGAGACCTGTGTACCGCAAAAAAAGAAAAAAAAAAAAAAAGATTTGCTGCATGCCTGCGATGTACTGTGATGACTTTTGGGCTAGATATTATTATTATCATTTTGCTGATGAAACTGAAGTTCAGAGAGGTTCATTGATTCCCCTAAGGCCATCTCAGTCAGGAACCAGGTAGAGACAGGGTTCAAAACTCCTGACTTTACCAAGCTCAGTTCTCTTTTCACTGTTACATAGCTGCCTCTCATAACATAGATGGGCATGTTTTTATTTTATTTTATTTTATTTATGTATGATGAACTTGAAGTCCAGAAAAACTGATTTGCCCAAGATTCCAAGCTGATAAGTACAGAGCAGGGATCAGAGCCGAGGTCCCTGCTTCCCAGCCGCTGCTCTTTTCACTCTAACTTCCTGCTTTCCAGGTGATTGAGTTTATTTCCTTAGTTGTTTAGTATAGTTGGACCTTTTCTCCCTCAAGTAGGAAGAGTTTAGTGAATTATAAATATTGAAGGGAAGAAATATTGTTTGAGAAGCAAAGCCAGCATTCAGGGCTCAGTTGCTCTGGAACAATGTGTGATGGTATAGTTTCAGCCTGTGCATGAAATTTTTTTTTTTTATTTAGGAACCTGACCTTAATGGTGATGATAGAAATACAGAAATAACTCCAGGAGAAAAGGTACTTCAGAATACCAAAGAGCAACGGGATCAGCAGAATCGGTTGAGAGAGATAGATGAAAAGCTAAGAAAGATGAAGGAAAATGTGGTAAATCTTTTTTTAATTTAAAGTAACCAGTGATTGTGTTAAAAATGTTCCAATTTTCTTTGACTGATTTATGACTGTTTTTATGTGTTGCATCAGGCAAGAAAGCTAACGTGGGTATTTGCCAGTAAGGATTTGAATAAAGGCTAAAAGTAGAACTCTTAGAACTTAAAGTAGTATTATAATTAATTTATATGACATAATAAACCTGTGAAAGGTGATCTGAAGTCAGAATAATCATCCATATGCCTAATATTCTGTGTCTGAAAGATATATGTTCTTTGTGTGGAGAAATTTGGTAGTTATTCTCTATAAAATCATCTTTATATGTTGGTCTTAAAGCTTAAATACTCCCATTTTTGGTTCATAATTCATAATATATTATTACTCAATATTAATACATTCTAAATCCATCTTGAGCCTATTTCATGTTTTAATTGCTTGCCATTTAAAGACGTATTATTGTTGATGAGAGAAAACTCTCAAATCAACTAAATTGTGAGCTGGTTGATATTCTGAACCTATTAGAAATGCTCTATAATATTATGATTTTCCAGCTACCCAGAGAATGTTTCTAAATTTTGGCTACATATTTAATTTTGGTGTTTACCTAAAATTAAACATGATGAGGCTGACCTGGTGATTCTACCTACGTCCTCTCTCCTTGGGCTGGTCTTATCATAATCGCAGTCCCTACTTTCTGTCTCCTACTAAATCCTGTTCTCTTGCGTGATCTTCAGGCCTCATGACGTTTTAACCAGTACTTCTGATTTGTGGGCATATCTTAAAACTGTTCCTTATGACTCTTTGAAAATCTTTTCTTTCTTGTCCCTACTTGTATCACCCTTCTCTCAGCATTGTCACCTCCTGTCCAGCTGCTTATAACCTGGTCACTCTCTTCTCTCATTATTGCGTTTTGTATGCTGCCCCATGAGAGTTAGCATCAGGTAAGTACTTTTGATTAAATTCTGGTCTCCTCAGAGCTTTCTACGAGTGCCCATCATTCCTGACTGAGGTTCTTCACCCCTCATGGTCACGTCCAGCCGAATTTCTCTTCCCACTTGCCAGCCATGGACAACAGCACTGACTCGGGCCTAAAGGGTATCTAGATCTACCTAATGAGAGTCAGGCAACAGATCTAGAGGGAATAAATGCATTGTGCTTCTCTTTATCATTCATTTTTGCTTACTTTTCATGGGAAATTTGATGGAATTATATTTCAGGGAGACCTCTATTCTTATTTTCTCAGCGTTTTTTTTTTTTTTTCTCCTTGAGTGTGATGATATGGGGAAGAAGTAGGAATGGTTAGGAAGTGCATAGGGGTTCTTTGCCCTTGGCCAGTAGTTGTGGGGTGGTTGGTGAGGCATTGAAAACTTGATGTGGTAAATACAATGTTTGTGGTTTGACTGGTTTTGAAAACTGTTGGCACTTTTCATCCCAGACCTACCAATCCCAGGTAGGCAAAGCCGGTCATTCTCCATAATTCACTTCTCCTCATTTCTGGTCATTTGTCCTATGCCTTGGACATGTATCCATTCTTTTCTACCATGTCTCTATAAATTATTTAATTCTTGACTCGAAAGCTGGGTCCTTTAGAAAATCTTACATTTTATTCCAGTGTCATATGATGGTTGGCTAGACTTAAAGAGATATGATAAATATCAAGAGTTGGTTGTTGTCTAAGTGGAAAAGAATAATATAAATACAGAAGAGCAAAAAAAAAAAGTAGAGAACAATTATTATGTATCTACTATGTGCCAGGCACTGTTGCAAATAGTTTACGATTTATTGACTTACCTGATTTTTACAACCACTCTGTGAGGTAGACACTACTATCCTCATTTTATGGATGAGGAGGTGGAGACACAGAGAGGCTGAGTAACTTCCTCAGGGTTGTACAGCTAGTGAGAGGAAGAGATAGGGGTTAAATGATTAGCTTTTAACAGCCATGCTATACTGCCTTTCTGGTACTTACTGGCTTTTCTTTTCTGATTAATATTGTCTTTTCGTTAAAGTGTGGTAAATTTGTTATAACCAGTAATATTCATTGGAAAGTGTTTGGAATCCCTTGTATAAATGATAATTCCACATTTTTGTGTGTCAGCACTTTCAGAACCTGGTATCTGGTAGATACAGGCCCATGAGTAATGATCTGTATTGTCTTTATGTTTTAATTGCTTATTGTTTCATAATGGCCTATGGAATAGACTGTGTACTGTGTGTGTACTTTTGAGGGACGATCCTGTGTCTGCTTCAAACTCTGTAAAGCCCTTTGTACCTCATAGAATTCTAGGTACTTTGTGGATGGGAAAACTGGAGACCCCAGTCTTTGTTTCAATGATGTCAGTAGCCTGCTCTGTTACCTTGAATAAGTCACTCAGTCTCTTAGACACTTAGTTTTATAACTTTGAAATCAAGGGAGTGAGGCTAGATGACCTCTGTCCTTTTGCTTGTGATTCTTGGCGTACTTATTTTTGGTGAGAGATGGTGTTACTTATAGTATCTAAGGCTCAGTTTGTGTGCTTCCTAAATATTTAGTATTAATTGGTTTAAATCTTCTGTTGAAAATTACTTTTGGAAATTTAGTAACACTTTTCAGGAGAATATGACATTGTCTTTTATATATATAGAAAAGTTAGCCTGTTGCCTACAGACCAAAGACTATGTTTTCTGAATGATATAGCTTCTAGAAATGGCTAATTTTGTCTTCTTCTCCCTATTGCAATGGAGCATTGTTTCCAGATCAATGATTTGGGTGAAAGAAGTAATCTGTGGCCATTGAATTGGTGATTAAAGATCAAATCTAAATACAACTACTCTTAGGGATAGAAGGAGGAAAGAGTGAGCTAAGGGGCAATGCAGGAGCCCTGTGGGGTGCTCCTGGAGCCACCTGGATCCCAGGATTGATTTGTGAGTAAAGGCTGGAAAAGTGACTTAATCCTATGTTTCCGATGGTAGCCTGAGGCTGTGGATGCACATTTGCATTGGTCAAGATTGGTGGAAGAAGTGGGATTTGATTTAATCTGGAGGTGGTGGTGGTATTGGTATCAGTGGATCTTGCTTTCAGGAGCTAGGGGAAGTAGGCACACTGAAATGCGGGTGAGGCTCAAAATATACTATGAAATTCAGTGGGCATGCCAGGGGCCTGAGCACCAGCTGCATAAGTAGAGGCAGAATGAGTAATGGCTACTAGAAGCAGCATATGTGAAACAAATCTTTTGGATTCACTCAGAATGAGTCAGAACTATAATGTAGCTGCTGTGCTACACATGAAGGAAGAGATGAGCAAAGCTGATCGTACTTGGATAGTAGAGGGACAAGGGTAAAGAAGGTATGAAAACCAGCTCATGTGAAGGGTTGTTGAGGAGGCTGAGTGTGTTTATTCAGCCTGGTGAAGAAAGGACATGCACATGTGTATGTGTGAGAGTGTGTGTGTAAGAGTGTGTGTGTGTGTGTGTGTGTTGTGGGGAAGGAGGGGATGGATGGTTTGGTAGAAAAATCACTCATGAAAACTTCCCGAAGAGATCTGAAGGACTAACATTTGAAGTATTATTTTTATTCTTTATAGTATAGGGAAAAAAGCATGGTGATTGGGAAGCCACAAAGCAACAGATTTCTGCTAAATACTAAGGAAGAAAGTTAGAATGATCTCAGTGGGAGTGATCTTTCAGGGGTAAGGATTTCAAATTAGGCTGGAGTGACACTTGCTAGGTAGCTGTAGGGAGGGTTTTAAGTATTAGGTCCCATTCCTGGGCACATGTCTGGAAAAGATGAAAACTCTAATTTGAAAAGATACACGCACCCCAATGTTCATAGCGCACTATTTACAATAGCCAAGACATGGAAGCAGCTTAAATGTCCATCAACAGATGAATAGGTAAAGAAGATGCAGTACATATATACAATGGAATATTACTCAGCTGTGAAAAAGAATGAAATAATGCCATTTGGAGCAGTATGGATGGACGTAGAGATTATCATCCTAAATAAGTATTAGTCAGAAGTAATATTAGTTAATATTAATTTGTAATATTAGTAATTAAGAAGTAGTCTGAAGTAAGTCAGACAGAGAAAGACAAACATCATATGATATTACTTACATGTGGAATCTAAAAAATGATATGAAGGAACTTATTTACAAAACAGAACTAGCCTCACAGACAGAGAAAACAAACTATGGGGAAAGGGAGGGGGGAGGGAGGTATAAATTAGGAAGTTTGGGATTAACGTATACACACTACTATATATAAAATAGATAAACAACAAGGACCTACTATATAGCGCAGGGAACTATATTCAGTATCTTGTAATAAGCTATAATGGAAAAGAATATGAAAAAGTATATATATATATATATATATGAATCATTTTGTTGTACACCTGAAACTAACACAGCATTGTAAATCAGCTATACTCCAATAATAAAAAAAAAGTGGCTGGATGGTAGGTCAGTTTCTCCAGCACAAGTAGGCAGCTTGTGTATGGTGAGCATGTGAAGGTGCTGTGCTTTGAGCTGTTTTTCACATGTTGGGGGAGGATTTGTGCTGAGCCGTTCACCTCTCACCTAGTTGGTTCCCATGGGGTTAGGAGTATTGGCTTTGACCATAATCTGTCAGGCTAACTACTTGTGTGGAGATAATTTGAGATAATAGAATTAGGAGAAAATGGAAGTAGCCATATTCATAGAGTTGGCAACAAACCCCACAAATACCCTCTCCATCGTTTGCCATACAGTACCCTCTGGTATCTCTAATCCCATCTAGCTCTGAGAGTCACTTTCCCTTGTTTTGGTGCTCTATAGGCTTCTCTGCCCACTCAGTCTTCTAACCCCACTCTGCTTTTTATTACCTCCCTGGGTTATAGTTCCGTTATGTAAGCTTCTATACGTGGGACATAGTGGTTAAGAACCAAACTGCTTGGGTTTGAATCTCAACTCTGTACTTACTGTCTGTGTGACCTTGGGCAGGTCTCCTGACCTCTCTGTGCTTCAGTTCCTAGATCTGAAAAATGGGGAGAGTTGTAATTAATACCTACCTCACAGGCTGATATGAAGATTAAATTAGTTAACATACATAAAGTGTTTTGAACAGGGTCTGACACATTTTAAGTGCTATGTAAATTGCACTTAAATTGTTATTGTTGTTATTAACATTATTAATATGGCATTTACATAAGCTTGTTTCTATGATAAGGAAGGGGAAGGGTATAGTATAGAGGATGAAATTGAAGACAGAGGGA